TATATCTATATGCCTATAGGTGCTCTGATGTAACGGTAAATGCTGGATGGATGTCGTTTGTCACAAATCACCACCAGCACACTTTCGCCTTCGTATGTATGGGGTGCAGCATGTATGAAGTACCAATGTCGTTGGCGCATGCGCCGGTACGCCGCGTACGTGTCTTGAATTTCTACGCGGTGCTACGCCTGCGCGCATGCTGGCGTCGCAGTATTGTTATTGGCGCGCGTTTGCCACAGGCGTGATGCCATCCTGCCACTTCAACGCTGATGAAGGCGGCAGCTGCTCTGAAAATGCATAAACTTTGCTTGCTGTCATATCTCCAATAGGTTAAGACGCACGCGTCTACATCACGTCAGCAGTGTTGCTTCGTTAAATTGTTGCTGCCACAACTGCCACACTGACATAACATACACTTTCAGTTATACTTTGTGCTTTTATAAAAACTCAGCTAAATTTAATTTAATTTTATGCAAAATCTTAAAATTTCCATATAAACAAATTTATTGCTCTGAAGTTGCTCGTGCGGCATGAACGTAAGTGTAATTCAAAGATTGCTTTCATTTAAGTATATATTATTAATTTTTGATCGTTACTGATTGCTGGTAAAAATCATATCTGCTAAGGGAAATATATCCCGACTTGTGAATTTTAAAGAGTCCATTTCTTTAAATACGTATTGAATGTAATTATATTTGAAAATATTACTGTTTTCAAAGCCTATTTTTGAGACGAATCAAGTGCTTGTATGGAAACTTTGCATTCGACAAAGATATTTTCATGAAATTCAGGAATAGATTATTACCTAAGGTAATAAGGCAACCTCAAGAAATGGTTTAGATCGGATCACTGTAGCATAATGCGTAGACTAACTGAAAGGTGGAATAAGTGCTTCTGTTTCATTTGACGCAATATCTTCCCGTATTTTATGGATTATTGTCTGAGCAACTAAATATATATATTCTCTAAGCAAAATTTTCAAATCAGTTACTATAGCGTATGGCTGCCATAATACTGAACGATCAAGATCAAGATAAAGATCTTTTTACTATAAATAATGCACCTGTGAACAGTAGTATAACTTCGGTGTAGCTAATTACCGTGGTTGTGAGAATATTGATGGTGATCCATAGTGTCTTTAAATCACTGATTACTGGATTGTCCTTAAAAGAAATTTCAGCAGTAACTTGACATTTATCTCCGCGGAACAGTCCCAATAATTTAACTTCTAAGCTATTTTCAAATCAGACTTCGCTAGTCTAAACAGTGCAATTATTGTGGGAATCAGGAAAACATCTCTCGTTAATGTGAAATTGCATCCACACTATACATAACTTCGAAAGTAAGGCATCCGCAGAAAATTACAGTTCGAACCGTGAAGCTCTGACACATTTGGACTTAGAAGCGCTTTTGGACTGATTCAGGAATTCGTTCATGCAAACAGCAAAAATTTATTTGGCATTTTTAAATGCTCAAGACAATTACAGAATAACCAAATTCCACTCAAAATAAATAAAAACTAGTATGAAAAATATATATATTATATTAACAGACGGGATTACAAATATTCTCATTAAAAATTTTGGTGAAATCTAAATTAAAAATTAAAAATTCCAAACTAAATTAAAAATTGGTAAAATATTTTTAATTTAAAAGTGAAGCAACAGATAAAAATTTTCAAATCAAAGCTGAATTGAAAAGGTTAAAGAAATGTTACATATTTCTAAATAAAACTACAAATATAGGTAAGACAAAAGTGTTAAGCTATATTTATTTGGTCGAACATAAGTAATTTAATTTTTGATTCCAATTTAAACACGATTTTTATTGTATAAAACATTGAAGAGGAAGTGGTAAATTTTCAGCTTAATCTATCGAGTTGTTATTCGACAATTTGCATTGACCAACGACTTTATTTGTCCACGTCGGCTTCAAGGCCTTCAGAACATGGTGTCCTCAAGTTCGGATTGCCGGAACGATATTTTACCCATTTGGCATTGGCGTCCGGTCAGCACATCCGCCACCACATCCGCCAATTTTCGCTGCCAGACTACCTGTATTTTGATAGTAAAACAGTAAAATGTCTGCCGAAAATGCTGTTTTCGATCTTCCGATCTTGGGTTCAAATATTTATTTTAAAAGTTTCAAATCGGTATTTGAAATTAGAAGAAAATTTAAACTATTCTGAACAAGTAAGGAAGGGAAGGAAGGAACAGTATAGTATTTCATTTATTTAAGGAAAGAATACACTGTTATTAGAAAAAGATTATTTCTGAATTTCATTAAGATTTCTTACATGTTGACCGATAGTGTTATATAAAGTATAAGGGCTAGGTCATGTCACTTTCAAAGTTTCGTTTATTGGCGGTTGGGCATATTAATGGTCAATCCCTCATTTACAATACAACGCCGTGGTGTCAAATATGTGTACCAAATTTCATCAAGATATGCCAATTTTATCAAGTTATCGCTTGCATGGACAGACGGACGAACGGAAAGACAGTCACTCGGATTTCCACTCGTCTCTTCATTCTGATCATTTATATATATATAATCCCATAAAATTATATATCGACAGCTTTAGGTGATACAAACAACCGTTAGATAGACAAAACTATTATTCCTATTGTAACATGTTGCAGAGCACAAACTATAAAGTATTGTTTAAGACAAATTCATTTAAACGTTATGCTATTATCTTTCCAAAGATCCTTATTAATTTTATCAGACCAGGAGGATGCTGACCTCAATTCTGTACAGCTCAGCACAGCGTTTGTAATATATTAATAATATTAATCTATATCTATTCTGCAATTCAGTATAAATAAAAATTAGTTTAAAGTTCAATAGCAAAATCAGCAGGGCAAAAATATATGTAAATATATAAAAAGACTTACGGTATAAAACACACTGTTCTTCACGCATCATCACAATTCTCAATTCTCACACTAAATTTTATTTAAAACACTACAAGTAATAAAAAGAATATCTAAGTAATGCTCATTACTTTCTTTCATTTAAAATGCGTGAAATTTATTGCAAACAAAATTCCACTTTTGATAGCAATTGAAAATCTAAGGCGTGTCAGTTACTTTAAAAACAGCGACATGTTTTACAGCTCCTAACAAAGGGAGACAATAGATTTATCATATTGATTTAACCTTTCCACTCAGTTGAGCGACGGACACGATGCTGGGAACTAGCGAGCACAGTGGTGGGTCTGGTGATTCATTCAATAGTAATCCTTTCGTCTACATTACTCGCGCCAACTCTAAAGAAAATGCAGAGCAGACCTTTTCCTTTTGTATGAAAATCACATTGTTATAGTTAGCAATAAATTTTCATTCAATTTGGAGTACTTTTCGTGAAGAGTTTATAAAGTAATTCTGTTAAAAATGAAAATGCCAGTGCGGCACTTTAATCCGCTGTGAAAATCACGAAGCAGTGCATGCATACATACATATGCCCACATAACCTCAAGCAATATACTTGTATATGTATATTTATGCTTCTACAGCTACGTGGGTTCACCGCGCATGCTGGATTAATGGCCCAGCCGTTTGTCTGAAGATAAGCAATTCTGCTCTACATATTTTCAATGTGCACATACATACAAATCTATTTTTCTGAATATAAGGCTATCTACCTTCCTTATCGCGCTTTCCAACAAAAGCAACAGCAACGTGAAAAACAAGCGATTACAATTAATGTGCGTCCTTATACGAAACAGGACCACACCCGCAATTCGGTGTTCCCAAATAGTAAATATTTTTCCTATTTTTGTGGTGAAGGAATGCGCCTGGATTATTCCTTTAATTGGAGCATTTAACTATTTAATGCGGCCTGCTTTACATATCCATACTTTCAGGATTACAGACCGTCGCCATTGCGTAAATTCTTTAATCATCGTTCAATTTCGATCGCGTCCGGTCTCATCAAAGTGATCGCTCACCTTTAACAGCGCGAAGGCGTTAAACAGCTGATCTTATCTTGATCGCGACAATTTTTGTGCTTCTGTTTCTTCTTCTTCATGTAGGCCCAGCATACAGATCTTCACTCTGTTTTTGTTGTTGTAGTTAGCTTAAATGCATTTGAGTTCCAGCGCTGTTGAACCGCTTGCGGTCTGTAATAATATAATTAAATTATGCACATCGATAAAAATATACCAGCTAAAAATATGCAGACAGGCAAAATGTGAATTGATCACTGTGGGATTAAATATTACTTTTGTAATTACATGAAAACTTATTTGAAAAATGGAACTCAGTGAAAATTCTGCAGATTGAAAATCGATGAAGTTACAACAAACTTTTTAAAAAGTAAGTTGAGTCTTTAAATAAAGCTAATATTTATTCACTAATAAAAACAAAAATCGAAAAATTTAACATTCTTTCAGTACTCATATAAATTAAGACAAAATGCGAGAAAATCTATGGTAGCTGGTCGAAGCAGAAGTTCTCTTAATGTCGAACACTTCGAACCCACTGCTAACACAGATATCAACCTGTTTCTGTTACTAGATCACGACAGCTCTTTGGTTGTGAACAGGTGATGATTTGAATAACGATCGCAGATGGTGACAGTGCAAACTCATTTAGGTTTAATCTGCCATTTACCATTTGTTGTGAGTATAAATATAGTACAGCAAAATTTAATTTTCCAATAAATAGTTATAATAATCTGTATATCGCATTGTGTATATGGTAAGTACGATCGATACATACAAATCGATACATTTCTGAATCAGTTGGTTACTTACCCTTACGGCCAAGCAGCAATTTGAACCTGCAGCGGTACTGGCAAATGAGCAGCTTCTTGAAAGAAAAGTAGCCGAAAAATTTCCAGATCGATATCTCGAAAACTGAGCGACTAATTCACGTATATACAGACAGATGCACATAGCTAAATCGATTCAGCTCGTCACGCTGTGCGTTATACATATTTTATAGGTTCCTGCGGCAGTAACATCTTCCGATTCCTAAAAGATATATAAATGGAAACATATTTAAATTACGTTTATTCCTCGATATGGCTGAGTTTACAATAACATTAAGAAAAATATCAATTTGACCATTAAAATATAGTTGATATGCAGCTTGTTCGCAAGATTTGCTCTTACCCAGTCCAAGTACCTGTAGACGTTCGTATAGAAGCCGGGATAGCCGGGCGTGCCACAACCGATGCCGAATGAAACAATTCCCACCGCTTTCTCGTCACATATCAATGGTCCACCCGAATCGCCTGCACATGAATCGCGCTCGGGATCTTCGGGCACACCAGCGCATAGCAAGGATGGCATATAGAAACTTCTATACGATTGACATTTCCGACGTGACCAAATTTCCAAATCGACGTACAAAGCTGTGGCCGGCATCGGACCGTGCTGCAAGTGCATAAACACAAAACATATCAACGATTCACGGCGATTTACGATTACACAAGAACACATGTTGAAGAAACCTACATCGAATATGCGCCCCCAACCAAGGACAGTACACTTCTCACCAGGGCGAAGCGGGTGATCGGCGAGCGGTAATACGCCTGTTGTCACATTGTCGATGCGTATATTTCGTTGCAAAATGATAACTGCAATGTCGACGGATTTTTCAGTTTTGGACTCTCCATACACGGCCACACGTTTCACTTTCATAATTTGAGTGTGTTCGGTTTTGACCAGACGATTCGGTGTACCAGCTATAATGATAATCGAACGCATCATTTGAAAGCCATACAATTTCCTATATCGAATGCAAATAATTACAGTTTTTATTTATGCTTTAAGCTCAAGGTCAAAACACTTACTTGCTAATGCAATGGGCGGCAGTTAAAATGGTATTCGGTTTGATAATGGCACCGCCGCAAAAATGTGAGTCGCCAAAAAATTTTTTAAAATTCGCATGACTTATCGAAACTAAATATTTCGTCAGATTCGCTACTTTGGGTCGATAGCCGCCAGTAATTAGAAATTTATAGCCTTTATCCCGCCCAAGATCCTCGATATGGTGGTGTAGACCTGGATACTCTTTGCTCAAATGTTGGTTGCACAGCGCAAACGATGTAATTGACAAAACTAATATAACTGTTAGAACACATAATTTTTGAGAAATCAATTTCAATAAAAACATTTTTCAGTAAAAAAACTCATAGAAAATGTGACGTTGAAACATAAAATCACAACAAAAATGAAAGTTTTTAAATAAAAATGATGAAAAAATATGTGTACAAGGCTGTCGTTTTGGGGGGATTAGTACTTTAGAATTCGGTATAGCGGTACTGAAGTAGCTTATTTGATGATTTTAGTCTTACAAGTATATTATGTGTTTTCTAATCAAGAAAATATATTATTTTCTTCTCAGAAATCTTGTAGCGTTCTTTCACTTTAGACCGCGTCCATTCATATATATTCTTCGCCCACTGACAGCGTTTTAAATTATGACGTATGCACAACTACTCCACTTAGCGTACTCAAAGCAACCAAACAGTCTCTATCACCAGCAGAAAGAAGTGTCTATTGCCCATTTACTTAAAATAAGAAATTTTCCGGAACTCAAGTCGCTGAACCACAACGTTGCAATGTTAATTTCTCTTTTCGTTCAATTTGAAGTCACGATCTCTGTCGTTGAACCATTTATTAATTCATATATCTCTCCTTGCACACTCCATCCTCATCCGACATTGGTCTCATATTCTGCTGATAGAATCGGTTAGATTAGTCTGATAGGCATGTGAGCCACGCATAGAACAGTTTTGGTTTTGACGCAAATTTCAAGAAGTTCTGCGGCCTCACTATTGATACCTCTTTCAGTGTCTCATACCGTGAGACTACCAAATGTTGGAAACGTTGACTGGCTAGTGCGGGATAAGTGCACAATAGATGCTATATTGTTTCCCTGGTGACTTTCTTTTGACATTTCTTGCAGTCATCTCAATCTGTTAGTCCCATTTTGCAGGCGATTTCCGCCACCAGACTGTGACCAGTGTACATTCCAATCATGTTTTTACAGCCTCTTATAACAAGAACTTTGTGTAATTTTGATTTCCCGCTTTTGCAATTTTGCATCCCGATAGATCATTCCATCGAATTTTTATATTCTTACCATGCTTTTGTCCAGATCGTCGTAAAGACAGTGCCTGGGCTTACCAATATCGGTCACGTTATTGGATGTCAGTCTTACTCCACTCTTGGCAATCTCGTCCACGATCTTACTGCCACTGATGCCTTTGCGCCCTGGCATCCAGTCCAAGTGAAGTCACTCTCTATTGCTGCCTTGCTTCCCAAGATACTTCTGGCTGATATGCGAACCGAGTTTACGCCCTTGATTGCTGCTTGGTTGTCATCGTTGCTGATATGATAGTTTGCATAAAAAGTTGTGTATATCAAGACTTGCAAGGAGAGTTGGTGGAGAATATCTGGAGCTATCTATCAACTCCAGTTTCAGGCTTTCTGACCTGTGTACCGCCCTCAAAGGTCGCAATAGGCCCACTGCCACGGAACGAGGCCTCTTTAGTGGTGACTTTCCACTCTGATAGTAGGGCGGCAATACTATCCTTGCGCTAGCTGACCGTACACTCCTTACTCCTTAGCCTTGGCATGGAGTTACTTCATGATAAGACTGGATTGGATACCTAGCTACAGCGGAATTGCAAGAAATTGCATATCGCCAAGTTCTTCTGGTTCTCAGAAAATTTTACCGGCTACCAGTGAAATAAGCTACTTGGAGGAGGATGAGAAAAAGCATCTCAACACTTCCTTTTGAATGTCCCGCCTTTGGCAGATGAAGGCTTAATTACCCCGGTTCTCACACCTTTGGACATCCTTGGTAAATATCGCAAAAGAAATAAAGCACCTAAGCATATTTGTGATAGTTTGAGTGCGCTTTGTCAAAAATTAATATCCAACTACAAGAGTTTTATGGTTTCAGTTAGCACAGCATATAGTTTTATTGTAATCCTACCGCCAAATTGGGTGTTTAATCATCTAACCTAAGGAAACCTCTACCCGCAATACAGTGCTTCGTTCTTCCCAAACCACAGCAAAACAGTACATCTAAACTTAATATATTTTTTAAAGACTTTTAGTGCAAATCCAAAACTTTTCTATTAATTTAGTTTAATAGTATTCAGAACGATATCAGCCGAAGTTTCCGAACTTTTCATGCTTAACAATCGGTCTGTCTCTATTTATTTTTCCCACTAGCTGCTGCAAAGGCTAGGAATAGTCAATCAGTCTTTAGAAGTAACATGTAGTTCGACCCCTCTCCACAAATAAAATGAAAACAGAAGACCTACTTATTAAAGCCCTTGTGCAAGACTCAAAAATATTATACTCATTTGTGTACAGTTATTCTCACCACTCATTAACAATGCGGAAACAAACAAATTTTTAAATACACTCTAAATTATTCACATCTGTTACCGAACAGTTTCTTCGCGAAATGGTAAACACATCTACACATACACACACACGCATACACGGTTTCACAACTGTGCGATCGATGCGCAGTGATTCCAAGTAACTCAACAGTGCACTTGGCATTACTGGACGGAAGCTTTGAAATCGATATGCAGATGAGCTGCAACAACAACAAAACAGCTTTATGCAAAATCTACTGCCTCTAGCCAATTGTCCCGCATTTTGTCATATTGGCAATTGACAGCGGCTACTACAACAACAACATCAACAAATTCTACAACAACAACCTAAAGCTATCAGTGCTCGACAACAGCAGGCGATTGCCAACCACTAACAACTGTTGTACACATTATTGCTGCTGTGTATACGCTGATCAGCGTTGTTGACAACAACAACAACATACACTGTATTTGCGTTTGCGCAGTCAAATCGCAAAACTGTTGTAAAATCGCTGAGAGCCGCCGATTTGCACAGCTTTCGCTGACATTATTTTTACCACTAACCAGCTTGTTGTTGGTTTTAAATGTTTCGCTCTTGTTGTTGTTTTCGTTTGTTTATCTTTCTTGCATGTTTTTTTTGTTGTTGTTATTGCTGCTGATTTGGCAGCGGCTTTAACTGATTCGCAGCTACTGATGCTGCATAACATTTGTTGTTGTTGTTGTCGCTGCTGTCATTTGCTTTTGTCGTCGCCGCGCAGATCTGCGTGTCGATTATGTCGCACATGCGAACATGAGCATCCGCTCAACCACCACCAGCGCGCTGCTGCCTCAACGCATTCGGCAGTAAGTCAACTTTGCTGCCCGTGCACTGATTGGAAATCATTTAAGTTGCCACAACTGTGCAAATGTGGCTTCCTGTGCTGCGCCGGCAATGCTTACAAATTTACAGTTTACTCTGGGCTCGTATTGCCTCGATTGCCTTGGCGCTGTTGATGCCTCTTCATTGATATCGAGAAACACTGCCTGTAATTTGTTGTTGATATTGTGTTTGTTATTGTTGTTATTATTGTTTCGTATGCAAATAATGCGGTTAACGGAAAAGGTTGACATCTCGAGGGTAGATAAGTAAATTAAGTTGCTCCCCATTACAAACGAATCACATAAAATACACTTGCTAAATGCTGTTGCCGCTCATCGTTTAACGGACACAGATTTACACACATACATAGACATATGTATATAGTAGGGCATTTAAGATATATACGAATACATACGCTTGTTCCCATATTCGCTTTTGGTTTGGGAAACTTTCTTTAATTTGCGACAATAAAATATTTTAACAACCCACATGACAAATCGGTGCACCCACGCGATCGTTAATTACGAAGATAACCCGATAACCCTCGTTAACATGTTTATATTAAGAATATAATATAGTAAGCTTTAGATTATTTACAAAGTGTGAACCAAACAATACTTTTCAAAAGAAAGGCGAAAGTATTTCGAAAATTTCATATTCTTCTTCTTTCGGATTTCAACTCTTTAAACTCGTTACTCTATCGAGGTAACCGACGCTAAAATTTAAGAGCGTATTCCTGTCTAAAACATGGAAAAAGTTTAATTTTTCGTATCTCTCTACTAAAGGGACTCAAATTACTTTCAAAGTTATAGACTCGTGGCAATTAGATCTGTTTAACGCAAAACTTTTTTCGATGCGCTTGGCACTATACCTCAAGTTCTAATCAGTCGATTTACTTGACATTTGTTGTGAATACATATTTTTTATAGTATACCCCTCTATCTCCCTGAAACTTTCTTTTTTCGTCCTCTAATTCGAGGACGCATACTTTTATGAAAATTTGTCTTTTTCTTTCGAAATTTAGTTTGCGTACTCTTGAAAAGTTAGTATACAAATGATAAAAAAATGTATAGTAAAATTATAAAAAGTTAATTTTTTTTATGAACTGCCAAACAATGCTCGAAATTCGGGCCTCTAGACCTCCTTTAAGAAAACTTTAAGCGATTTCATTCGATACTGTTTATTCGAAGAGCGTAATACCAAATATGTTTAGCTGTTTTTTTATCCAAACCAGCAAAACCAAATCCTATACTTTAATTAAGTTTTGGTTCAGCATGTCTTCGACACAAGTCTAAGTTGTATTCTATGATCTTATAATCTATTGTTTTCGGAAATATTGATTCGAAGGTCATTAAGCGCTGATCTTCCTTATCAAGTAAAAGTTCTTCAATGGTCTCGACTTGTCTACACCAAACCATTTTTTCTAGCCAATACTTCTAATATACATATCTAGTGTAGGTCCATTATTTATCTTTTTTTATAGAGATTATTATTTCCCGTCTGGTTTTACAAACCGTTTTGGATCACAAATCATGCAGAAGAATGATTGGAAGATGGACCGAAAGTAAACATTATATTAGCCCTTTAACTTTAGTTGCACCACACGGAAAATCCGACAATCTGGCAAAATCCCTGCTGGAGTTGCATTGACTACTCGAGAATCAGCAATCCTGAAAATAGGTTTAGTCAACAAAAGCAAATGTTCGATATATTCAATACTATTAAATTTACAGCGGATTTTTATATCCTGAACAGGGTATATTAAGTTTGCCACGAAGTTTGTAACAGGTAAAAGGAAACATCGGAAACCCTATAAAATATTTACATAAATGATCAGCATGATGAGCTGAGTTGATTTAGCCATGTCCGTCTGTCTGCCTGTATATTTACGTACTAATCCCTCAGTTTTTAAGCTATTACTCTGAAATTTGGCCCCTGCCCTTTTAGAAGCTGCTCATTTGTCCGAACGGCTGATATCGGACTACTAAAAAATATAGCTACCATACAAACTGAACAATCGAAATCAAGTGCTTGTATGGAAAACTTTTTTATTTGACGAGGTATTTTTACGAAATTGGCACGAGTTATGGTTTAAAGCAACAATTTATTCTCTGAAGAAATTGTTCAGATCATATCTTAGTATCATATAGCTGCCACACAAATTGAACGATCGGAATAACCGTTAACATAACGGAATAACCCATAACAGTCGGGTCTACGTAACCGGAACGGACCCGGATATTTTCCGGCCAAGGACTGTCAACTCGACAAAATTCTGCCGCTACAACAACAACGATCGGAATACGTTCTTGTAAGGAACCTTTCTATTTTGAAGGTGTAATACCGATGTTAACATTTTTTCTTATTCTAATATTATTTGAGCTGTCATCGATAATTTTCATACGTTGGGATATTATATTGACCATCTGTCAAATTACCTCTAGGCGTTTTTTGAATGATAAAGAATCACAACACTTAGGGAGTAAGGTTAATCTGTGCTAACCACGTATGTTGTGCGCACAGTTAAAATCTCTGTATCAAAACCAATTAGCTCATTAAATGACATTCGAATAATTATATAAATTTTAACCAAATATGCCTGCAATTATTCGAAAGTGTCTCGAAAACAGTACATGCGCGGTGCTCCTCATAACTTGGTGCTTGATCATCCGAAATGAAAAATCAAAGTGCTTCCGTTAAATAATAATTTGCTCCAGGTAACACCGAGAGTTTTCCAAAATTGAAATTTTCAATAATCGAATGTGAGACACGATCATCACCTGTATCACCCTATCCGTACTAACCAAATACCTTAAATCCGTTACTTTATGTTTAGTTTATGAGGAGAATGTTTATTTTAACTGAATAATTGTATATTATTTCTTTATTATTTATTCTCCACCAATTTAAAATATTATTAATACCAGAATTCAAGTTTTAAGTGGAGAATTTTATGCTCATAAGTTAAGTTTCGTCAATGAACACTACGACACTACGAGCTTATAGTTATACGTACGCTTAACCAAAAGTTTAAACATTCTTCAAGAAAGCTTAGTTTGATAGAATGTCCTAGGCTTTAGTAATGCCTTTAGTGGCAATAGAATTTAGCTTTCGAGAACATTTCTTTTATAAATGATGATATATGTACATACCATACAATTTTTATTATCGGATGTGCTAAAATTCATTATAATTATGTAAGCCCTTTTATTTTACATACTTGATTGAGAAAAAAAACAAAAGAAAAAAAACACGAAAATTTTATAAACAATTTTGGTACTACCAAAGAGGAAGAGCAAGAATGTGACATACCAATAGTTTGTTTCTGGAATCTCTAGACAATGTTTACCAGATATTGAGGTTTCCCAATATTCTGTGATTTCATATTAGCGATGTTGAAACATATTACATATTCTGCACTGGCACAATATCTCCCATGCTTTCATAATCAACTTCGAAATTACACAATAATGAAAATTTTAACAGTAAAAACAATTAACTTTAAATTTTTAATACATTGTAAGTATATTTAGTGTCTTCCGTTGGTTTGCATTTAAATCTAAAATTTGTTTTAAATCATAGTCTTCCATTACTAAGCTAAACTTAAACTAGAATTAATTTAAAATTAACAAACTTAAAACACACGGCACAATGTTGAAACATGCATTTGTACAAACGCTCATCAAAAATACTCAAAATAAATAATACGACTAATAATACTAACAAGTTTCAAATGAGGTAATACTCGTTTCAGTCATTGGTTAATTACGACGCGTCGCAGTCTTCTGCAGTGTCTCTCAATTACGGCAGCTGACTAGTGGCTCCTCGATTTGCAGCGCAACTCAGTGGATGCCGACTTTACACTTCATCCTGCCACAGCGAGATGTAGTCGAGCAGATCCTCTCTTCGCCCGAGCTACACGCCGCGGCCTCCTCACTGTACTGCTGCTCGTATTTCATTTGCAGAGGCAGCGAAAATTGCGTTGGACTCGCAAGGCAGTTGGTGAATGTGTAGTATAAGGCATCAGAGTTGTTGTAGTCGCTGCGATGCTCGAACTAACCGAGCCAGCTGGTGATACAAAGCCGGATGCTGTTGGAATACTGTTGCGGCATTAGCGATTGTTGATACTTGAGGTTAATGAGTTGTTGGTGTGTTTGTGTTGCTGATGTTGCAAGTTATCGGCATAGCTGTGTGTTTGGTAGTGTTGTTGTACTTATCAGCGAATATCGTTGCCTGCATATTACTCTTGGTGGCGTCGGTGGTGGTGAATTGTGCGCGCTGCTGGCATATTGGACCAACTCGTGTTTGTGGCTGGGCTGGTGCACACACAGTCGCACGCTTGCCGTCCACTTCGTCGATAACGCGCTGCAGCCGACGTATATATTCCACAGCCATGCGTAGCGTATCGACTTTGGAGAGTTTCTTGTGTGCACCGGGTCCAATGCCACGGCGACCGTTACTCAGATCGGCAATGATCGCAGGCGGTATGTGTTGGCGCAGATGCGAGAAACCGTTGTTCACTTGTTTGACGCGATTAGTTCGCGTGCGTTGCGGCGCACTACCGAGGGATTGTTGGAGTCGAGCGTGGTGCGCTGATGCAACATTTATCGTCTGTGGGTTTCGTTGCGGTTGGCGGTGTGTGTGGTGCAGGTGCGATGGCACGCGGCTGTGGCTGATACATGTTGCGTGTTGTGCCGCACAGCGTTTGTGGTCTTTGGTAGGGATGTTGACTGTTGCTGGTGATGCTGCCGAGTGCCATTTTTGAGTATCGTATGCTGAACGTAATTTGTTTCGAGAAAATTTTTCTTTAACTTAGTTTCTTGTCTTGGAGTCTTGCTGTCCTGACACTGCCACGCTCTGTAGCTGAATGATGCCCTTCCTGCCGTTGCTGCGCTATTTGTACTTTTCCTCGTGCACTTAGCCACCGTTGGTGCATGGGAATTGCACAGGAATTCTCCGATTCTTACCTGTATCACTCTGCACCGCAGGAATCTGCAGACAAAGAGTGAAATACTCATTTGCTGTGGTTATGCTTACCTGTACTCAAACCGATGCGAGCTACAGCTACAGCATCCAACGATCCTTCGCTTGAGGGTTGTTGGTTAGGTTGATCATTTTCTGGTTTATGTGCTCTTGCTCTCTTTTTATTAGTGCTGCTCTTTACTTCAAATGCTATCTCTTTACTTAGTTTCATTAACTGCTTCACTTCCCCTACTTTCGTTCTCCTCTGTATGCAGTGAGACAGTTGTAAGGAAATTTAATTTGCTGCTCACCGACATCGTTTAACTCTAAGCTCTCTGATTTATGCGTTGATTATGTCGTTTGTTGTCGCTTAAAAATCTCTGGCAAACATACTTTATCTGAGCATAAGTTGAGTATTTTCTTGAGGTTGAGTTAATTCCCAGGCCATTGCTGAGTAACGCGTGCCAAACCTTTTTCAGTCTCTAGTAAGAAAATTGGTGGCTGAGTGTCTAAAAGCTAACCTAAATTATCGTGTAAACATACACGTATCTTACAGGAGCATAGTGAACATATTATAGCATATAGATTAATAGACCAGGGTATATATTTATGAAAGAAAAATAATAATAGGTTGTTGAAACCTATTGAAAAAGGAAGATTAATAACAAAAATGAAAGGTGAAAGAGTTTACGGGCGATCTGAAGTTGGGAAATGTAAGGAAGGGATTAAAGAAGACGCCGTATAGTGTACGCAGTGCTCTATTGCAGCTGTGGAACCCATCGACGCCACTTGGTTCTAAATACAGTATGTGGAAATATTCGTCTATTTGTCCTTTGAATTGTCTTCGAAAAGGCCTTAGTATGTACAGCACTTGTCAAAAACTATATTTTAAGTAAAAACTTGTAACACATTTTCGTTGAACTTTTTTTATTTGAGTTTAGACATCTTGCATACCAAATAAATATTAATTTGAAATCGGGTGGCAAGCCCGCCCACTCCCCATAAAACGGTACTGTTAAAAAATACTAAAGCACGATAAACCAAGCACTAAACACGACAGAGACATTAAATTTTATCCCTGGGATGGTATGAGATAACTTAATGGAACCGCGTTCAAAATCAGTCATGGGCGTGGCACCGCCCACTTTTAGATGAAAACCGATATATAGTATCTGCTAACCCGATTTCAACCAAATTCAGTACATAGCATTCTCCTCATATTTCTATGTTATAGTGCGAAAATAGGCGAAATCGGACCAAACCAAGCCTATTTCCCATATAACACCATTTTCAATTCCATCTGATTATTTCACTTTCCACTATGCATATCAAGCAAATGATTATACGGGGTAAACTTTGCGTGAATAACGTTTAAAGTATGCCACCTTGTGACCAAAATTGTCTAAATCGAACCAAAGCTTTTCAAGCCCTAGGTACTAAATATGTGGACCCCTTTGCCTATAGTTGACCTTCTACCGAAAATATCAGTCAATCGACAAAGAAATCTCAAACGAGTATACCATTTGACTTTGCGAGAGTATAAAATGTTCGGTTACATCCGAACTTAGGCCTTCCTTACTTGTTATATATTCTTAATATATTTTTTTGAATAAGGGTGGATTTGAAAGTCAAATCATACTTATATTCAAGTTATAGAAAATGTTAAATAATTCCTGCCCAAGTCGTTTTACAACTACTTTAATCATTATATGCTTTTAAGCTATTTAATTTATAAACAGGTGGCAACTCCAAAAACTAATAGAATTATATTATTTAACAGATATCATCGATACCTAGCAAAGCTTTTTTATCTACGTAAAATTATTTTTTATAACCGCACTGACCTAATACTTCCGCTTTTAGCTTCCAAATTGCTTGTTATCATTTCATTTCGATAAGATTATACATACACCCTACACAATACCATAAATGTAGACCCACTAAACTATCAATTTCATTGAATGGCCAATTACTGTAAAACGTCACTTATGCCACACCGCTGTCGCCAGTCATAAGAATTGTGGACACAACTGTGAGCAGCGGGATTACAGTCATCCTCGTTGCATTGACGACATGAGCGCTTTTTGTTCTGTTTCAATTGGGAGCGCACGGTGCAATAGCAGCTAGAGATACTACTATATATACAACCCATGTGATCTAAAGTGCCACTTGCTGAAATAAAATATTTATAGTTCTAATTAAAATGAATTTCTATTTAAAAAAATAAATATTAATTAACAACATTAAAATTTTTACTCACGCGTCTACAGCCAATCGCGTAGACAATTCATATTTCTCGTGGTGTTGACGCTAGGTACATCCAGATAATCATACTTGTAGTTCCAAGTCTAATTGACCAACTCGAAGGTGCAGTCCATATTTCCTCTGTCTTGCAATCATATATGCTTGAACAGAAATAGCATTTCAAGCAGCTGTCAAGACCTGAAGAATAAAAATTATTACTTAAAATAAACAAACATAATGTTATGTTATACCATTACTCACCAAAAGAGAGACAGCAGCAGATGATAAACGCTAGTGTGGAGTGTGGTTTTCATTTTTTAAATATTATTTAACTTAATTATTAATTAATCTTAAAATGAGCTGTGATTAGTTAATTAGCTAAAGTATGCCTGATCACTTTGTGGTTCTGAGTAGAAACATATACCATATACCTAGGCGCTAAGCTTAAATTATCTTATCGAGCATGGCTTTCTATTGACCCTCTTAAAAGGTATTGTTGTTTTATTACTCGCGAGTCATATTCTTGGAAAGGTAAATACAGCAGATATATTCCATATTTTTATGCAGAAATACATACCTGTAAGTGTATATTTATTTATTGTGTAAATAAAATAAAATCTAAAATACAGTAAGTTTGTGTATATTTCAATAAGCAGTTTAATTGAGCTATGCTACTGATCTTTTTGTGCCTAAGTGCTAGAAGTGCGCTACAAACTTTAAACGACCTTCGAATATCTATTAGCATTTTTTAGAAACTCTTTAATTTAAGAAGCACTGTAAATAAATGCTCCATCTTTAAGCCTTTGTTGATAGCTTTCAGAACGGACCGATTTGCAATCAACCCAATTCATCTCACTACCGCGACCCACGTCTACTGTTCTATAATACTGTTTTGTTCCGCTCTAAAAGAATTGCATATATTTCGATGTAAACGAGTTTTTGTGTTCAATTATGATTGCGACAAATCAATATTTTTCCTCAGAATAATTCCAAACACCGTTTAATTGGCATCTAAATATTTTCGCAGCTACTAATCACAAGTTCGTAGCTAATACTTTTTTGGTACTACCCTAACCTATCCACTAACTAATACAATACATCCAATAGTGAATCGAAAATACCTCGAAAGGAAATAAAATTATAGCCTCTGCCTTAGGTATAAATGAATCCGTAGATAATATAACAATATGAAATAATTCCATTTTCAGATTTTCAACTTGCCGTTTTAAGCAAAGAGACCAGCTTGTCGTTCCTCCTGCAGATTACAACGTCACGACTTTACAATGAAAAGTAATTTGCCAATAATTCATACTCTGTAAATAGGTGGCAACTTGTTAACATATAATTTGTATTATAAAAAGTATTATCGTAAATACCCACAAACATGAATTTTTTTACTTTGAAATATTTATAAAAGGTGGCAACGCTGATTCAACTTATACTTAAATTCAAATGAAAGAAAACAAATATTTCACTTGTTAACCAATTTTTAAGTCCAATTTTATTTTCAAATAATTTATGTTTAATTTATTAACAGGTGGCAACTTCATAACAAAATATAATTTGTATTATAAAAGGTATTCAAATAAACATATTTTGTAAATATATACATTAAAATACTAGTCTATTATAATATTATATTATCATACATAGTACTTCTGAATACATCTGGCCACCTCTTTTAATGAAAATCCACTCATTAGAGTTTGAATCAATATTTTGGACTACTATACAAAACTTATTTAAATAATTCAATTGCGCCACACACATTTCACCAAAACTGTTGCCACAATTGTAGTTATCACTGTCAATAGACTACCGTTAGCACGTGCGGCTGGATTACAGCCATCCTTGTTACACTGAGCACACCTACGTTCGTGACGTTGAGAATAATATGGATTCACTGCGTAACTGCAACTTTGGTAATTACTATATACGCAACCCTTGTATATGAATTCGTTGGAGGCTGATGAGAAAGATAAAAAATATTTTTTTGGAGGAAAAAGTTATTACTTGGGGGCAACGAGTCAACTTACATGTCTTCAACCAATCACGCATACATAGGAAACTTTGGCTGGTGAAATTCGTACCTGGTACACCTGTATATAACGCATTTAAGTAATCGCGAGTCTTATTGGCCGCGTCAGCGTTGCATTCCAATCTGCTTGGCTTCTTGCAGTCCTTAGCACTGTAGCAACTGTAACATTTCAAGGAGTTTGCTAAAAAAAAAATTAGCGAAATTAAATAAAATGGCAATATAAACAATTATATATATATATTTTTAATACTGTGCTTACCAAAAGTAAAACAACAGAAGCCAAATACTGCTAGTGTGAGCAAAATTTCTGCGTTTCTCATATTAGAAGATGAAACTAAATTGATTTTATATATTTTCCTTTCCTCCTTTACTAAAATGAATATTAAATGTGTGCTTTCGAACCGACTTTGAACTCTCGACTAAATAACTGTCAATACTTGAGCGTACACTAAGCCACATAAGTCAAAAGCGTAAATACAAGCTAAATTGGCGATAACACTAAGAATTATCTCTCCAACTAGATCGATTATAAAAGCACAATTTCAATTTAATAGAGGTTTTCGAAGCTTTATCGCTTATCTTTATTATAACTACTTAACGGCTTTCTATCTTAGTTCTATCTGAAGTCTAATTTTTAGCTTTCTTTAACAATAAATAAGTATGTGTTCGTTCTTAATTTGTGTTGATAACTTGGAAACAAATATTACACTGCGTAACAAATTTCAAATTTTTTTTTGGCACATAAAAAATCATATCAAATTATGAATGTACTAGGCCCACCAAGCAATAATACGAGTATGTGAATGAAAAAAAACTGGCACGCCTTTGTCTTTTTCCGATTTATGGTTTCCTAAGAAATTTTGGATAACGTTCACAAAACATTATTAGGTGAGTTTTTGCTGATCTTTCAGGTTTTCTTCAAAGTTCTCACCTTTATTAATTGCCGTATTTGTGGACCAGTTCATTACCTGGGTCACTATCTTCAGTTACTTCATCGTACTGACTCGGAGTTCTGAAGTAAAATCCTGATATTCTGATCGATTTGAAGCCTTTGTTATAGACAGTTCGGCAGTAATTATAATGGGTCTGTTGTCTAGAGCCTAATTTGGATACTGGATTGTGTGTTTGGACTTGGTTGTAATGTTTGGTTTGAGTCAAACGAAAATAACAATTACTTGCATGTTCCTTTGGTTCAGTCCAAATCATTGGTATAGCAAATGTCATATGTCTGGGTTCTTATTTAGTCGAATCTAATTGCAGTATCACACATGTTACACAACATTTATGTGGAATCCAGGATTTCTTTTGATTCCTCAAAGGAAGTCCAAAATAGTCTAAATAACAATGTTGAATTAATGCCGTGAAATTACGTCGCTAAGATTTAAAAGCTAATTTTCTAATATGCAATAGTTATACAGTCGTATAAAGGAAGTTATTTGAAAAAAGACACGTATTTGGTCAAAAATAAATTTGTAGCTGTCACGAAATAACTGGCTGTGATTGAAACAAACCAACATATTCAAAAATCATCACAAAGTTCGTGTGACAGAAACAGTGTTTACCAGTGTTATTTACTACTATTTATCTAGGTCAATGTCATGACGTCAACCCACAGGTAATTCTCCGGATATCCTATATCCTACTAAAATTAGTTCAAATTTTGTACTCAGTATACGCCATTCAGGATGTAAGGTTTATCTTAGAATTTAATTGATACTGAAACAGATCATTATTATATGCTACATAGAGGACGGCCTTTGAATCTCCCATGAGCGAATTTTATTAAGAGCAAGAAAAAAAGTTTGGTTATACCGAAGCTAGAATATCCTACAGAAGTAAAAAAGTTTCCATACAAGAACCTGGTTTTTATCGGTTAGTTTTCATGACACTTATATGCTATAGTGGTCCGATATACTGAGAGCCGCATAGACAGGCGGATATGGCTAAAGTTAATGTTATATTAATAGGAATGTTAGATCTAAGCTATTAAGATCTCTTTTCTGAATATTTAAACCGTTTCGCAAATTGGGAGTTCACTCAATGATTTAAGTAGACATTATTATATGGCTGGACCGAAGCTCGATGGTCAGTGAACGAGAGGGGGGAGGTTGTTCTCTGGACGACCCGGTGCACTGCAAAAATTTGTTTGCAAATTTTTTTCTCCAACAAGTGATGGACCAGGCGGCTGGCATCTTTTATCCTCTCCGGACCGCTATTATTTCTCTATAGCCCTGCCGATGGTACTTGTAATCCATACAAATGTTCAAAAATCTAAAAATTACTATAATATAAATACAAAAGCTGATATCCAAAAAAAAGTTTGTTTGAACACGTTCAATCAACTTTTTATAGAGGTATGAGACATACTGTATTCTATGAAAGTTCTTTGTCGCGATAAACATTCATGTCTCTGCCCACTATAGCTTATCAAGTTTATCGTTCACAATAAAATCAAATATTTCACACATACATATGTGCCGTTGGGGAATCACCTGTTGCAAACGATTTTGAAATATTTTGTTTACAGTTGCTTCGAAAATTAACGGGCTCACTTAACATACATATGCAGAAAATTAAAAAGCTTCTTGAGGAAATCTGTGGTACGATATTGTCTCTTTGAATGAGTTTTAATTTGAAATGAAAAAGAATTTAATTTAAGGCAAATTTTGTTTTTTGATCAATCAAGGATTATATTTAACCTAATATTTCTAAAATTTTGAAGTCCACATTTCCTGTGTCCATTTCTTTATAAACTAGTTTTATCATACGTAAGATTAATACTCGTTTATCCTTTCATTTCAAGCACGTACACTCTCGCAGACTAATCTTCAATTAAACCCAACAAAGTGTTTTGAATGCTTGCGAACAGCTTGCCGCTTATAGTCACTTCGAATTAGTATCAATTTTAAATCAAAGAAATGCTATTCTCAAGCCTTTAGCCTATTATTAGCCACCGCGATTGAAGTCTATACGGCTGGAACTGTAATTAACCGAGGTGTTAGCCCAGCACTCTTGAGCAACTGAAAGATTTGCTGCATAAATGGTCAAATGCTCATCGTCAAGCATAGTTATAAAATCAACAAACTGGTTCAAGCCAACTGCACACCAATTAGAATACGACTTTCCGCTACTTTTGTGGGGTCGTTCGTTCGTAGTTTGGTTTTAATAACTTCCTTGATGAATGAGCTAATTAAAGTATAACATATTACAACACTTACAACAATTGCCGACGTGAACAAAGGATTATAATTTGTGGTTAGCTCTAATATTTATTGCAACAATAATTTATCGAATAAATTATAGCAGATAAAGTGTTGAAATTACAAAGATTAGCTACAATATTACACGTGGTACGTACCTCCTTAAGTACGTACATATGCTTACACAAAATTTTTATAAAGATAGATTTTTATACTGTTTTATGGGTTTTTTTGAAATCAGTCAGCACACTTTTTTATTTACATGCTCAAAAATGTTTTTTCGAATTATAATGAACGTATTTTTTGTTAATAAAATATGTTAAACTTGCTCACAACTGGGTAACTGTTGTCAGATAACCTGAAGAATACCATATATTATATATCATATAAATTTCAGCAAAATTTTTTTCGTGGCTTACAAGACATTATTTTGTTCAACTTTCTTCGTAACAGAAAAAAGTAATTTGAGAGCGTTTTTAAACTATGTGGTCCCTCAACTCCTTGCCTAATCACTTTTTCTAGTCATTTTATTATCAGTGTTTGATAAAAGTAAAGATACCAAATAGGTCGTAAATAAATATTTTCTAATTACAAACTACTTTTGCCACTGAATTCAGTTACTTATCCATTAATAGAAGCCCCCCACTGCTTAGTTATCAAGTGCAATAAAATTGTATGAATTTAATTATCGCCAAAGCTATTGATAGATAATAACAATACATTTTTTAATGTAATCAATATTTTTAGTCACTCGCGGTAGTTATAATTTCATCAAAATTTTAGCTTTTTATAAGAGCTTTTCTGGTTTATTTTTGAATCTGAATATATGAATTTTTATATTCGATTTATATGACATAAAATTGTGTCAAGTGAATAAATATTGCGGACTTATGACATCTCTTTACACTTTCGCAGAAGGATGTTCTCGTTGTTCTCTTGACTTTCCCTAAGTCGTTACTAATGCCACTTCTGCTGGCTTTGTTAAGAAGTCTTCAGCTCGAAGGTCCTGATCTCAGTCAGCCCTGATGTCCACCAAAAGGGTTTCTCTTTACTTTTTTGAGTTTTCAGAGCACATCAGCTTTCAAAAGTAGCTCCTTAGACAGATCTAAAACCCTAGACTACCTATGAATCGCGCCCACTGATAGGATCGAACTCTTATCGGGCGCGCTTATCGAAGCTTCTTGTAATATAAATCCCTCGAAGTAGACTCGGCATAATATTTGAATATCTAAGCTAATTTCAATAATGATCTACGATCCCCATCAGTTTAGTTTGACCTTGACGGTTAGGATTAGGCCTGGATTGGAATCAATATTTCCTTTCTAAAACATAAAAAACTCAAGACACATTCATTCTCATTTCTGCCGTTCAAGTGTGTAAAACTTCGGTACTCAACTCACAGGTAACATCAAGCATAATTATTCGCTATTACTTATGTTACTTATTCACAGAGAAGTTCAGTAAACCACATCATAATCATTATAATTCAAGGTTTTTCGTCGATTTTATAAGCAAATAGTTGACACTTTATTACCTATTCAGACCCACATGACATCCTATTGATCCATTTCCGGCGGTAACCTGAACTAGCAACAAGATAAAAGTTTTATATGCATTTTTAAATTGTTGTAGACACCGTTTCCCAACGTACCAAAAACCTTCTTTGAAACATCAGCAAATGGCATAAAGCTACTTGCCATTAACAGCAAAGCGTCAGACAGTCTGACAAAGCGTCTGAGGCATTTAAAAAAAAAATTATATATACTTATGTATATATATACATATATATTTAGATCAACATGTACTATGCATATATATATATAGTTACCATACTATAGATAATGGCACAACAAAACGCCTACACCACAAGTGGTCCAAAAGTCAAAAATTGGCGACGACAAGTCTTCCAACTGTTGGAATTTCGCAGTTTCCGCAAAAACAATTCAATGCCATACGATCTATACAGTTTGCTCTTCATGTACTTGCTGTGACAGTGCGTTGTGCTGAGCACACACGCCATGCGGTGCGCCACGGCACGTCCCAAAAATATCCTTAACCTTTCGTAAAAACAAATACGTTTCGATTTCGCCTGACTTTGACAATAATAATTTTTATATGCTTGGTAATAAACAATTTCGTTATGGTTACAGGCAGCATGCCAAGTGGGTGCGCTCGGACACATGCGCACTAGCTGCAGACACAATGGGTTCGCCGACATGCTGGGTGTCATTTAACGCTTCTTTATGCAATGAACAAGACTTTTGTATAATCTAACAACATAGTGATTTCGGCCTGACTATAGATACCTATTCTTCTATAGTGTATGGTACGCTTTCTTAATTTCTTTTGCCATTTGTTGAACAGTAAAGATTATATATTATATATGTATATGCCAAATGG